CTTACCCGCTTTTTTTAATTAAATATTTATCAACAACTATAAGTGGCATATAGGCCATAATAATTGATAGTTAATATTAATATATTATACACTATGGTGAAATATTTACAATATGTGTGTCAATGTCACTTTGATAATAGGTATCAAACATATAATTTTCGAGTAATGTGCGATGGCTGTTGATTTTTATTTTTTTCTAGTATCATCRTTTATAATTGCTATTCGATTGAAAAATAGAACACATAGACATAAGTAAGTGTATGTACTTACTACTTTGTGAAACAAGATATAATAATATATWATAATATATTAAACATTAAATATGACACTCCTATAATTTCTGATAAACTTACCTGGCTACCAGTACCTACGTATGCAACATATTATATTACATAATAAATAATAATTTATCAGACCACAGCTCGAGGCTTTAGAGTGTATACTGACTCGATATTCGCGGTGAGTCAAAGGCCTCTAAGTCAACAGTATGGTACATTCAGTTCAAACAATCGACGACTGCTTTAGAGTTGTTTTATTTCAAGCAGAATTACGCATTTTCTTTTACGTATATTCCTATCGCATCAAGTTTATACCTTTACGCCGTTGCAGGTATACGGTTTTTCGTAGAGACATGCSCTAATTTTGGGGACAGCCTGAAAGTTTTAACGGGCAATGYATTTGATTTTGGATTTTACTCTTATAGATTTTCATTAAATGACATAGACTGACCTGTAGACCTATCCGTTCTGTTTCTCACCATGATGTGGGCACCCACGTTAATCTGTTAATCGACACATTATAATGATATCATAAAGATAAAATCTTGCAAAATACTAACCATTACAAACACTATGTTGATGACCAGTATACGGTGGCCAACGCTTCTGCGCWCGCAATTTCGGTTTCACTTGAGTCCAAATATAATATATAGGTACATTTTATCCGTCCGCCCGATTTAAATGTACCTGCCTATATGTGAGATATCGGACAGTGCGTTGTGATTAGGAGGATTAGGTAAAAGGTTTCAAAAATAAAAACAGTTTTAAAACTCATTTTGGTATAGTTGGCAATTTGAAATTTTATTTACATAATAATACAATAAATAATTTTTTCCTAGAATTTATTATAAATTAGTATTGTTTGTATGCCGGGGCGGCGTACGATTGCTTGTAGGCGGGGGTGGAGTATCCGTAAGCTGGGGCGGGGGTTGAGTATCCGTAAGCTGGAGCTGGTGCGGAGTAAGCCGGTGCAGAGTAAGCCGGGGCGGAGTAAGCTGGCTTGTAGGCTGGGGCGGCTGCTGGGTAAGCTGGAGCCGATGGGTAGGCTGGGGCCGACGGGTAGGCTGGGGCCGATGGGTAGGCTGGGGCCGATGGGTAGGCTGGGGCAGCTGGGTAGGCTGGGGCTTTGTACGCTGGCTTGTAGGCCGGGGCGGAGCTGTAGGACGGTGTGCCTTCTTTCTTCACTTCGGCGACGAAACCGTTGTAGTCGTCAGCGGTGTATTCGACGATTCTCTTGGTGCCATCGGGCTCGACCAGGCTGTAGGATCCTTTGACGTAACCGTTACCGTCGCTGTATTCGGATTGGCTTTTGATGTCGTATGTGGCATCGTCGTGCACGCTGTATTCGAAGTTGTACGGGGCTGGGGCGTAGGCGGGCTCTGGGGCGTAAGATTTGGGTGCGGAGTAAGCGGGTGC